TATATATATATATATCTGATTTAAAATCCGATTTGTTCGCCAATTCCATTCATCCGCCTTTAATCTGCCATTCATCTTGCTTTAATCTAATGATCTATAAGAATCTTTTTTCTTTAATTCACAGTAATAAAAAGCTAGCAAGCATTATAAAACACATTATGATATACATATTGTTAATTTAGAATCGAGAACATCCATATTTCTGACTACTAAATTAACAATATGTATAATGTGTATATTCATCTTTCTTTAGAAGAACAACTGTACAAAAATATACTGTAAACATTTTCCCACACATGCACAACATTTCTGGATAATCTCAAAATTACTGACATATTTGATAAAAGCGCATGAAAAATCTTTAGATAACTTTTATCAGCAATATATCTATGAACAATTCGAGATAACGTAACACTGCAAATGCTGTATCGATTTCGGCTTTCAGTCATTAATCTGCAGCTGTTTGCAGTGCGTAAAACGGCCTGTCGCCCGTATGTGCTTAAGAAGATATATACATTTCACGTAGCTATAGTCACTTTAGTGAATCTTTTGTACATATCGCACATAGCGGAGTAAAAGTCACGTACGATTGCTCATCGATCGCATCGAAAGAGATATTTCGGTAAGAAAAGTTAGCTCGCTTTCTCGCAAATATCTCTTTCCGAAAAACCGAGTTCGCATTATATCACTGCATGTCAAGCAAAATATCACTTTGAAACTTGCTTGAAAGCTAGCCATCGAAATCATCCTCAATTGAACACGAATTCTTAGTAATAGTAGCGATAAAACAATGAAAAAGAGATGAAACATTGAAAATATATCGCCAAGCATAAATTTTCAGTTCCCGTTTATTTTACTAATATCCTTTTGTCGCAAGAAAGTTACAAAGTTCTGCGTTTGATCATAATAGAACCTAAAGAGAGAACAAATTTACATGGGTGCTTGCAATTTGTAGTCATGAGCCAAAGGCTTCGAAGTTACAAATATGCAAATATTCCCATGTAAATTTGTTCGTCGTGTATTAGACTGTAATGTATATCTGATAATACAAAACATATATCAATAAATAGAAAATCATTGAAATAAAAAAGATATGTAACGCGAAATTGAGAAGAATATTAAATTCAAGAACAGAGGAGAGACAGCAAGTAATTAATATTAAATTGATGTCACATAAACATAATATGGATATGAAAAGTTAGTCGTTTACTCTGCATAGATCTCTGCATGAATATAGAATGCAACATGCATGTATTATGCTTCTTGCACTTTATCTAATTCAATTCGAGTATCCTTCCAGAATGTTTTTATTTTCTTGTCTTTCTTGTATATACTTCTGTAAAGTGGTATTGATGTTAGACTTTATACTATCATTTTATGCAGATATCATCATCTTTTTGCAATCTCAATAAATTGCATAACTAATTTGAAGTCGTACAACTTTGACGAATGTTTTATAAAAATCGTATTAATCGGAATAAATTTAATTATAGTTTTTACACGCGCGTGTATCTTTTTTTAATAAATTTTTAAATAAATTATCAAGATTATTTAAAATTGAATATCATATTTTTTATATAATCGATTGCTCTTATACTAACCAGGAAGGGATACTCGAAGTTATCAAAAAGACTATTTTTATTTACATATTTCGATTCGCAGGCACAGTGATCGCTACCACTATCATCGCACGGCCTGGCTTATCCTTTCTTTCGAATATCAATTAGCATCAGGATAACTGCATCTACAACCTGGCTCAACCTCGTATTCAACCTGAAAATACTTGCTGCAACGTGTTTTTATGCGAAAGGATAATATTTCCTACAGCACGAAAAGGAATGGAAGAAATCATGTAAGAGATGAAAACGAAATAAGAAAACGATATTCGCATTTTATCGGCGTATCAAACCGTGATATTTTATCGCAGATTTTGTAGTAACGTAAACTTGATTTATCTGATGACGACAGAGAAAAGTTTATAATGATTACGATGATCAGAAAAACTCCTGATTAGCCTAATCTTGCGTTCACTTCGCCGTCGTTAATGCGCTCTAAATAATATAAATAGAATGGTACACTATTTATATGTGATCGCTATCCAGTTTTTACGTTTTTATTACTGCACCACGTGGTGGAGGTTGAGTCATGGTGAAGGTAGATTCAGATCGATTAGAATTTATATAGTAGAAGAATGTAAAAAACTGTAACACGTGAAAGAAAAAGTGAAGAATGATGCAGAAGTGAAAGATAGAATGAATGGTAGGAAGAAAGAGAGCAAACGGTAGAGAGCACACAGACGAGCGCGAAGACGAGTGAAAGAGAGGGAGAGAGAGAACTATATATTTTCGAGCATATTTCTATTACTTTCTTGAAATTCGGACCAAGACTTAACCAGCGTTTGTGTGTTCAAATGGTAAAGTGTGTTCTTGGTTGCGGTCCAGCTAGCGGATGAGGACTGGCTGACGCCTAGCCTTCTAGTGTGATGGTAAGCAAGTATACTCCACCAACAGGAACAACTTCTACAGCAACAACAGTTACCACCACCATCACCACCATCACTTCCTCCTCCACCACTACTACCACCACCATCACCAACAACAACAACAACATTTCCGTCATCATCGACGCCACCGCGACAGCAAAAGCAGTAAAACTCATGCCACTTCCGGCTTGACAATGCGCGAGTCAAAAGGTGGCAATCACGAAAACCAGATAACACTCGCTTAGTAAAAACAAAGAAGTAAAGTGAGAAATAAAAAAAAGATAGTAAATAAGAATCATAATCCTAGGTAACCTTGCGCAAGATGCATCCGACATCCCTATCTCCCCATAAGTTTTCACGTCCAATATAAGAGAAAGAGCCGCTATCGATTATTAAGCGGAGATACCTCTCGTCCAGTCTGTAGGATAATCTAGTATCTCGCTCGGCTTGAAGAAATAGATAGCATTTATCGTTACAGTAGTGACCGAAGCTTATATACAGAACACGAAATCGGGCAGTACACATGAATACGCCATTCGTGATGGTTTGACAGCATTTTTTTTTTTTAGCAAAACTGGCCAATTATGCATATTATTGTATCGTCCAGCGAGTAATGAGAGACACGAGTCCGCGTTTAACGGAATCGTGATACCTGGTTTATGACCATTTTAAAAATGCATATAAATTCCTTACTCCTATGGAAAAAAAAGAGCGACGACAGACCGCTGGATTCTAACTCGTTACCCGGATTCATTATTTTTGTAGTTTGGGCTTTAACAGCGAAAAAATACTAACTCAAAAACAAAGTAATGTCGAAGGGGATGCTCGTAACCGAATGCGGTAGCCGACGAGTGACCGCGGTGTATAAATGATAAATACAAAGATCGATTAATCGAAAGAAAGGAACACTCGTGAAGATATAAATATATAAATATACATATATAAATATAAATATATATATATATATATATATAAATGAAAATATATATATACATAAAAAAATAAAAATTATTATATAAACGAAATTCAACAATTAGCTAGTTAGATAGGTATATTATATTAAAAGTTATACTCGAAACGATTCGAAATTCGGCGACAACGGGGAGATGGATCTTATGTATATTCGATAGCACAGCGTTTCTATGGGGACAAAATAATCAATCCCTTTGTAAAATTCTTATCCCATCTCGAAAACCACGGAACTACTATCGGATCCACGTGTCTTATTCCATTTTCCACACTGCGAAGACTTCGTACCTCGGTTAATACATTTACTTATCGAATTCGTGGCCGAACGATAATTCACGCGTGAAATCTTCGCAAGCAGTTCAACATTCGCTTTTATCATTCGAGTCTGTCTTTCGGACACGCACTTAGGCCAGTTGGATACTTTTATAAAACAATCAATACCGTGGTACGACGTGGGAGATGCCGACAAATTTAGCACGTTCCGAATCGAGAAAGTGACGGAACGCGCAAAACACCGATCAGGATCGCCGTGGTTTTTAAGTAAATGTTAGATTTTTATATAAAATGTGACTATGTAGAACCAAAGCAAATCGAGATTCTATATGACGTTTAAGCAATAAAACGTTAAGCTTAGGAAGAGGAAAAAGGCATCCATTGATCCGTCTCTTTGTAAATCAATCTCGACTGCGTAAACGAGAAACACACGAATTCTCAACAACGAAAAAAAAAATAATAATAAACAAACAAAATAGTTAGAAGAGACGGTGCGTGCATGCGTATATTTTAAATGTTCGAGGAGCAGTAAAACGATCACAATCTCCCCGATGTCCCGAATTTTGACTTGGCCAAATTGATACAAAAAAAGGCGAAACCGAGACTTATATAAGTCGTTAACGTGTAAGCAATTGCATGAGTGCAATCGTACATATGAAAGAGCATTAGAAGGAGAGGAAAAGAAAGTATGAAAGTGAAAAAAAGAAAGAATGAGAGGGAGAGAAAGATCGAGCGACGAATATAAACTGCACAGCACAAGCGAGGGACGTGAAATAAAAAAGAGATTAAATAATTCGTAGATAGATACATTGCACAAACAGCACGAAAGTTAGATTAGACAAGTTAAGTTTTTTGTCCACGCGTGCCCTGTCCGCGCGGCTGCCGTTCTAATCGTCTCTAATCGTATGTAATCTCATCATCGACGTGCTCCTCCGCCGTTAAAATCATCCACTTGCCGAAAGAGGATCGCCCCGAAAAGCTGCGGGTCGACGAGATGATATAGCACAAGCAATTTAAATACTTAAAAAAATGAGAAACAGCTGAAACTATCCGTCGTATATTGCTATCCGTCTCTTTTATCTTCGTGCTCGATAGTCTGTATCTTCATCGTCCTGCTTTTTGCTCCTACCGCCTCTTTTCACTCCTTTGGTTTTAAGTATCGCAACTCATGCTCGTCGCACCGATAATATCGTCGTCCCTGCTTTTTCTGAGACCGCGTTCATATCGGAGCAATGAATAGAGAGCTGAGCCGAATCTATACGAAAACTAATGACACACTAAAGCTTTAAGTCTTCAATCGTCAAAAAACTGAAAATCGTCCAAAATGAAAATAATTTTTAAATGATATTTTAAAATATATTGCGTAAAATTTTTATAATTGTGCCCTGATAAATTATAAACTTAAAGTCGCGAAATGTCAATTGCCTTGCATAGAACATGTTTGAAATTCGATACTCGACAAGAGGCTTTAATATTACTGTTTTTGTTGAAAGAGCTTTACTGCTCCGAAGCATTATTGGTCGCGCTTTAAACGACACAATATATAATATCTTTTTCTAATAAAAATCTTTCGTAAAATACCACATTCCATAGATACATAATTTATAATTTTATCTATGCGAACAGATAGAAAAAATAAGAAATAAAACAAGAAGAGAAAAAGAGACGGGAGGTGCAGTGATTAAGGGGCGAGAAAAGTGCGTCGATGATGACAGAAACGAGATAGACGATTCTGTTATTAATCAAAAGACAGACGGATCGTGTTTTAAGCGAATCAAAAGCGTTCGACGTTTCTCAATCAAAAAGATCGATGATCAAAGTTCGGCACATGAATGTTCGAAACGCAGAAAAGAAAGTGAAAAAACGACACAATCAAACCTGCCCAACATCGCGTAGAGTATAGATGTTTTATGATGAAAGTAGAGAGAGTGTCTACCGATCCGTCGCGATTGCGTCAACCAGCGAAAAGAGTGTGACTTTCCTTTTGGAAAGAAAGCTCGACAATAAAAACCGCCACATTTCTCAGAGAGAGCGTTTTTAATCTCGATGAATGATTCTGATACAATAATTCATATCATTCATGTGACATGTCTCAAAAATAATAACGTCGCAATATTGGCTGCATTTTTGACGCCTTGCTTTCATTTGATTTGCAGCTTTGAGAGAAGATGTTTAGAGAAAATTATATACAGATTATTGTTAAAAATTTTAATTTGTATATTCGCACGAAGAATATCGAGGGATATTTTGCCAAATTTCTTTCTAATTTGTGTTACTGTGTCACTATGTTATTAGAAATATGGTTATTCATAGATATGTTCAATTACGTGCGTAATTTTCTTATTGAATGCATTTAGCTTATCCTTAATTTTATTATGTCTTTAATTTTAGTGCAACATATAAATTATTATGCACGATCGCACGTGATGTAAGCGCGACCACGATTATTTCCTGCAGTTTTTGCATGTTGATGATCAAGTTTTATAATCATTTCTCAATTCAGTTCTCTCGTAATCTGCACCTTGAAAATAATTGTGTCTCTATATCTTTTTATAATCAAATGTCAGTCTTTCGACACTAATCTCAGTTATCTTTTAACAGTTGTGTTTTATCATCAAATATGTAACAAATTATTTAAAAAATTAAACATTTTAGAGAGTATATATATAGATATATTGCATATATTGCTCATAATAAAATGCAGGTTACAATCGCGATGTGCAAAACTTTTACATCATTTAAAATTATAGCTTAAAAGGAAATCGTCATGCTAATTGAATCTCATTTTCTGATAGAAATTGGGTGACTAGCCTCGAGGACATGGCACGAGTATGCAAAGAAAAAACAACAAAATTATAAATAAATATATATACATACATATATATAAATTCAAAAATGCATATATATATATATATGCATTTATGCGCGCAGCGGCGGCGAAGGCTGTTATTTTCAATCGTTGTGCGTAAAATAAAGCACTGTGCGTGAGAAAGTTAGCTTTTAAGGAAAAAAAGCGACATGAGAAAACATAAGTAAAAAGAAAATATCGTGTACATTATTAGTTAGGCGAAAGAAATAAAAATATAGGCTATTTTTGTGAAAGGTGGAACGAGCGAGGGGAGAGAGGGGGAACGAAGATCTCGAGTGGCAAGAGGGACCCAATAGCAGACTGTAATACGAATTATGCAATAAGAATCTGTTACCGCGTGCGTTTGCATCTGTCAATCAAATTCTGTACAGTAACGTATACCGGAAAGCGTTTAACCGACAAGAGGATATTAATTGGATCCGACACGCTCTACTTTTACGTTCCTTACGTTCCACCCAGTCACTCCCCTTATCAAATTGCTCGCTATGCACTCCGACTCGATTCCACCTTCGACAGAGAAAAAAAAAAGTGACGGATCCTGCACTCTTTTAAAGAATCAGCGTGGACGCCCGATCCTGTAAAAAGTATTTGAAGAAAGGCGCCTTAACACATTAAGGCGTGTATATTACTTAATGTAGACCCGTGCGTTGTCTAGAACATATACCGAGTGGAGCTAGCCGATCGAGCGAATCCTCATCGCGTTAAACGGGAAACCAAAATGTAGCATAAAATGATAGATAGATAATTATTAATGTAATCTGACTTAGTAGGGGCAAACAAAAATAGGGACAGTGGAATCGCGGACGGCAACGACGGACGGCGGGGAAATGTGAACCGGGGCGATACAAACTGTAAAAAAGGAGGCAAACTCGAGAGGAAGGCTACAGCGCAAAACTAGCAAGAGATTCACTTATGGTA